ACATACATACATACATACATACATACATGCATGCATACATGCATGCATACATACATACATACATACATGCATACATACATACACACGCACACACGCACACACACACACACATACAAACACACATAAATAACGCTCCCCAAATCAGTGTCTTCAATGCAGCGGTTCAACCGTTCACCATCTCACCCAGAAAACCCGAGGAACACGAGTTCGATTCCCGTGTTGGCAGAATTCCATCGAATCTCTCGGTCGGCCTTCTGAGACGCTCAAACAAAACGTCACAAACACTTCTCTGCTAAACTTGGTCTCATCTGCCTCAACAGAAGCCAAAATCATCGTAATCCTTTTTTCTTCTATTTCTTTTTGAGGAATATTCTCCTCTACAAATGTATTATTAATAAAACAAACTATTTTATCGTCAGACAGTGAAATACAATAAAGACAAACGCCTTTCAAAGTTCCTCTTTGACTCAATGACAACTTGCTTGCCTCTACAACCCTTCTTCGTTTTCCGCTTCTTTAAAAAAAAGCTTTGTCAGTCCAAAGGACCATAATATTATACATACAGTGGACCGATAAGTCACGTGACACATATCTAGACCAGGTCAAGCGGTCAGACGTCTGCGCCATCTGTCACTCGTCCAGCACCAAAATGTTCCAAGTGCCTCAGCATAGACGTCACACAGAGTTATATTGCCCCAGAAGGGTCCAAGTGCCTCAGCATAAACGTCACACAGAGTTATATTGCCCCAGAAGGTTCCAAGTGCCACAGCATAAACGTCACACAGAGTTATATTGCCCCAAAAGGTTCCAAGTGCCACAGCATAAACGTCACACAGGGTTATGTTGCCCCAAAAGGTTCCAAGTGCCTCAGCATAAACGTCACACAGGGTTATGTTGCCCCAAAAGGTTCCAAGTGCCTCAGCATAGACGTCACACAGAGTTATATTGCCCCAGAAGGGTCCAAGTGCCTCAGCATAAACGTCACACAGAGTTATATTGCCCCAGAAGGTTCCAAGTGCCACAGCATAAACGTCACACAGAGTTATATTGCCCCAAAAGGTTCCAAGTGCCTCAGCATAAACGTCACACAGGGTTATATTGCCCCAAAAGGTTCCAAGTGCCTCAGCATAAACGTCACACAGAGTTATGTTGCACACAGAACGTGTTGACGTCAAGTTCTCATTTCGTATAGCCAGTTCAAATTTTAGTTTTAGTAAGAATTTTACATCACTTGCAACACAATAAGGTCATATAAGTGTCGAAGATTAGAGTTGTTACAAGAGAGTAACAAACACAAAAAAGAATGAGGGGATATAAAGACGATAGATGTTTGAAAGGAAAGAAGAAGCAAACCACACCAGAGCACCCGCCAACCACCCACAGTCCCAGTTTCTCTCGATACACATCCCTTGTAAAGTGCATCGTCACCCAAAGAGCTGTCTTGAAGAAGCAAATCACATC